CAGCAACAACAAAAATATCCAGGCCTTGTGGCAGGCACCTGTAGTCCCAGCTACTTGAGAGGCTGAGGCAAGAGAATCGCTTAAGCCCAAGAGTTTGAGGTTGCTACGAGCTGTGACACCATAGCACTCTATCTGGGGTGACAGACTGAGACTCTGTCACAAAAAATAAATTAAAAAAAAAGGATCTCCCAGACCCCACACAAAACCATAGAAGTCCTGTACCCAAACGCATTTGTAATTAATAATGGTGTGAGTTTAAGCCCTCATATCTAAATCTCAGGGTCCTTGGAAAAGTGGCTTCATGTACTTATATATGATGTGCATCTGTTTAGTAAAATTAGAACCTACACCTGGAGTATAAAAGACAATAATTCTTTTAGGGCAAATTTTTTCAACTTTTGTAGATCTATTCCCTTGAATTTGTGGGCGAAAAAACCAGAAGGACAAACAGATATTGTTTCCCAATCTTCTTTTGAATTCTTTGCATTTCCATCTGGCCTCTCTGCCTCATTAACAGAAATGCACACAAGCCTCTTCCCACTTTATAAATGTATTTGCACCTTCATTCTTCAGGTTAAAAAGAAATTAAGACAATTTAATGATGTGCTTCAGCCATCTAAGAGATAACTTGTGAGTTTAACATGTGCCAGTTGTATGGATTAAAAAAAAAAAAAAAAAGCTGACTCCTCCAAAATACCACAAATCAACAGCAGCTGCCAATGGTATATCTTAGCCTGCATAACTATAATCATTCCAAACTCAAAGGACAGTACAGGGTAGGGGGGAAAAGACCACGGAATGGGGTGTGCCCTCGTCACTGACCGCCAAGACTGCAGTATCCAGTTGGTTTCCACATTTGGCAGCCTTTCTAACGTGTTCCGCATTCAATTGCTATATTCATTTCTAGAATTCCACTTTCAAGGAGTCTCTGGTCTACTCAAGAAGCACCTAAAGACGACCTACTGGCTCGGTGCCTGTGGCTCAAGTGGCTAAGACGCCAGCCACATATACCTAAAGTGGCAGGTTCGAATCCAGCCCGAGCCCACCAAACAATGACGGCTGCAACCAAAAAATAGCCGGGCGTTGTGGCGGGCGCCTGTGGTCCCAGCTACTTGGGAGGCGGAGGCAGGAGACTCACTTGAGCTTAGGAGATGGAGGTTGCTGTGAGCTGTGATGCCACATCACTCTACCCAGGGGGACAGCGTGAGGCTCTGTCTCAAAAAAAATAAATAAATAAAAGACGACCTAGTACTTGTCACATCTAGTTCACTCTTCAACTTCACGGTTCTCCAGAGGCCAGCTCCACTTGTTCAGCTGTTTCCTGCTCAATATGGCTACCTCTGCCAATTCCTCCCCGAGGCCTGACTGAACTTCCCACCAACTCCTCGGGCAGCCTTCATTCTAACCAGTGTTAAAAAATTGTTCCCTCTATCGCCAGCACGTTCGTTTTCGGGACATTCTTTCGGAACTCGGCATAAGCTTTAACAAACGGCGGGTGTATTCCGAGGTGTTTTCAACAGAACCGTCCCAAACCAAGGCTCAGGGGTCCCCACGTCGCACCGTTTAACAGGGAGAGGAGCTTCTGGGCGGCGCAAACGTTGGAGAGGAAACCACGACAGCAGACAAGGAAAGACAGGGTGGCCCGTGCTTTGTCTTTCCTTGGGTGGGCCCGTGAAGGTGGTGGTGGTGGGGAGACCCCCAAGAAATGAGTTCTAGAAGACAGAAAAAAATCCCACGACGCTCCCCACAAGGGAAGCCCAGGGCGGCCAGCGGCGGGGCCGCCATCCCAGAAGAGGACGGGTTCCCCATCCTGAGAGACAAAGAGGCGATGTCGGAAGGCAGGGGCAGGGACCGCGGCCACCAACATCCGGGCACGGCGAGGCAGGGAAACGCGAGGCGCCCTCCCAGCACGCGCCGCGCCGAGGACGCGGTTGCCCGGCCGAGGCGGCGCCGGCGGGCTCCCGGCGGGCGTTTGAGGGGCAGCGCCTCCAAGGGGCGCGGACGCGGGGAGGGGCCTCTGAGTAGGGTCGTGCCCAAAGGGAGAAGCGTTTTCCGAGGCAGGGCTCTCCCAGGACGGGAACTCTGTGGATGCGGAAACCGGTGAAGCTCCGAGCCACTGGCATCTCCCAGCCCGGCTTCCCTGCACACTCACCGTGTCGCTTCCAAACGCCGCCGCTTCAGCTGCAGCTACCGGCCGGCGCAGCCGCACTGAGCACGCTCCGCCCACGTGACTCGCCCAGGCTCCGCCTGCTCCACGTGACCCAGGGAGCCCACCCCATCCCGCCCTTACTCGCCGCTGTACTCCACGTGGTCTTGGCTGGCTCCGCCCTTTTTGGAAAGATGGCGGTTCCCGTCCGCGGTTCTCCTGGCTTCGGACGGATCAGGGCTGCTGGCCAGACTTTGGAGAGTCTTTTCACTCTCGTTTCAAGGCCATTTTGTTCCGCTGCCGCTGCTTCTAATTCTCTGAATGCACAGCGATTAGCAGAGAGGCTCCGAGCCCCAAAACGGCAACAAAACACGGAAAGGGAGCCGGTGAGTCCAGAGGAACCACAACTCCCAAGAGGCCGTGCGCTCACTGATTTCTCAGGTGGGGGAAGAGGTAGGCGAGTCCGCCGACTGGCAGCGAGTAAGAAAACGTCTTTGGGTGGAACGTGGAGGAGAGATGTTAGTAGGGGTACGGTGTCTCCCTGTAGGGTACATCTCCTGCTGGGGTCAGCCCTAACCACTGCGTGCACGAGTCTGATGCAAAGATACAGTCACTTTCTACTCAAATCGTCGCACAGACCTTACTGAAGGCTTTCCTCACTGTTCTTTCTCCTCCCTAGGTGCCCACAAACCCTATTCAGCGGAGGGTGCGAGAATTAGTGCGCTTCACACAGCAGCTGCAGCGAGTCCACCCCAATGTCCTTGCTAAGGCTTTAAGCCGAGGGATTCTTTATCAGGACAAGGACCTCGTAGTCATCAATAAGCCCTATGGTCTTCCTGTGCATGGTAAGGGCCACGTGGGAAAGGAGAGGACCCTGCTGCTGCTTTCTGCTGTAACTAAGGGAAACTGACAAATTACCTGTGGGGCACTGAAGCCTTGCGCTCAAATTGATTGAACCTTTGTGGATTATTATCTTACGTGATGCACTGCTGAGGATGCAGATAAATGAGACACCACCTACCTTCCAAACATCTGCCCATCAACAGTGATTCATGAAGTCACTGTGTGCGCACCTACGCAAGGATTGCTATAGAGAAACACAAAGCTGTGTGGTTTTAGTCTTCAAGTTTTTTTTTTAAATCAAAACTGAGAATTAGCTGGGTGCTGTGGCTCACACCTGTAATCCTAGTACTTTGGGAGGACAAAGCAGGAGGATCACTTGAGCTCAGGAGGTGGAGCCCAGCCTGAGCAAGAGCAAGACCCTGTTTCTACTAAAAATAGAAAAATTAGCCTGTCATTGTGGTGGGCTCTGGTAGTCCCAGATACTTGCAAGGCTGAGGCAGTAGGATCCCTTGAACTCCGTATGAGATTAGTATGAGTTAGGCTGATGCCACAACACTCTAGCCTGGGCAACAGAGTGAGACTGTCTCAAAAAAAAAAGTGAGGAAAAACACATAAGAACAAAAAAGGTGGGTGTCTCTGTGTGTTTTGAAGTATACCTAATGTAAAACCCCAGAGTGCCTGGAACTTAGTGGACACTTTTCTTTTTTTTTTTTTGAGACAGAGCCTCAAGCTTTCCCCCTGGGTAGAGTGCCATGGCATCACGCTCACAGCAACCTCCAACTCCTGGGCTCAAGCGAGTCTCCTGCCTCCGCCTCCCAAGTAGCTGGGACCACAGGCGCCCGTCACAACGCCCGGCTATTTTTTGGTTGCAGCCGTCATTGTTGTTTGGCGGGTCCGGGCTGGGGATTCGAACCCGCCACCTTAGGTGTACATGGCTAGCGCCTTAGCCGGTTGAGCTATAGGCGCCGAGCCAGTGGACACTTTTCAAAAAATGTTGACTCTAGTTAACAGGGACAGCTGAGTTGTCAGGGTCCTGCCCTGGGAGCAGGGTCCACTAAGACCTGTGGAAATTGGTGGCTACCTACTGAAAAAATACAGAGTTAGAAAGGATGGTAAAGAAAGAGACATGAGACAGTAGAATTAAAAGTGGGTTTGCAGGTGTCAGTTGCCTGTTTGTGGGATTCCAGCAGTGACAGTGACACCTAGTGTTTGCTCTACTCTGCTTTTATTGAAGTCTATTTGCCCATAGGCTAAGATGATGGAGGGAACAGAGACACCAGCTGATTGAGCATATCAGCTCCTATTGTTATTATTAACCTTAAAGGTAGCCTTGAGAAATCTTGTTTTGGGAGAGCCTCCGACTTGACCTCACACACACACAGATTTCTAGGGAGATGTTAAACTCTGCCAGTTCCCTGTGGAGTAAAACGCCACCAGCTTTAATCTGCTTAGAGGAATCGGTGGGAGGGAGGAGTTTTCCTCCCATCACCACCACAGTGGATCTTCCTCTGCAATAAGGGATATAAGCTCTTCTGCCTATATCTAATTGCTGTAGCTCCTCTCTTGATCTCTGCCCCAGGCAAATGCAAATCTCCACAATGGGTATATGCTTTGCCTGTCTACTGGGCAGGAAATAACCCAGTTAATCTATCTTTCTAGGTCTTTACCATTGCCTCTTCTATGACCATTTTTTCCTCAGAGTGCTCACAGACCCAGCAGGGTGTTTGTAAGCTGTATCTCCAGTAAGCTAGAATTTCAGAAAAGGCAGGAAGTTTGCTAGCATTGGCTCTCTTAAACTAGCTGACTTGCTCAGCTTACGTTTTTTTTTGCAGTTTTTGGCTAGGGCTGGGGCTGAACCCACCACCTCTGGCATATGGGGCTGGCGCCCTACTCCTTTGAGCCACAGGCACTACCCACTCAGCTTACTTTTTTTTTTTTTTTTTGAGACAGAGCCTCAAGCTGTCCCCCTAGGTAGGGTGCCGTGGCATTACAGCTCACAGCAACCTCCAACTCCTGGGCTCAAGCGAGTCTCCTGCCTCCGCCTCCCAAGTAGCTGGGACCACAGGCGCCCTCCACAACACCCGGCCATCTTTTGGTTGCAGCCGTCATTGTTTTGGCAGGTCCAGGCTGGGGATTTGAACCTGCCACCCTAGGTGTACGGGGCTGGCGCCCTAGCCGGCTGAGCTATAGGCACCGAGCCCACTCAGCTTACTTTTTAATTTTCCTTTTTCTGGAGGTGCTTTCCCTTGCCAAGAAGGGGGTCTTCAGTCCCCATTCTCCCTGCATGAGTGAGTCAGGAGATTAATGGAAAATATGCATAGTGAAAGAGTTTTGCAGAGAGAGCAGGCACTTGGGCAACTTGTTAAAATGCAGATTCTGATTTAGTGGCTGGATTGGGGGCCTGAGATTCGTTTCTAATAAGCTGTCTAGGCATACCAGTGTTGCTAGTCCCATGTTCTCACTTCAGTAGTAAGACTCTAGAAACACTGGCAGTTTATCCAAATAAGGGATTTTCTCCCAAGAGGAGTTCCTCGGTGAGGTCTTTTCCTGGCCACTTAAACCTCTGGCTTTTCCCTTCTTAGGTGGTCCTGGAGTCCAGCTCTGCATCAGTGATGTATTGCCTATCCTGGCAAAGATGCTTCACGGCCACAAGGCAGAGCCCTTGCATCTGTGCCACCGGCTGGATAAGGAAACAACAGGCGTGATGGTGTTGGCTTGGGAGAAGGAAGTAGCACATCAAGTTCAAGAGTTGTTCAGAACCCGTCAGGTGGCAAAGAAGTACTGGTATGAGGCCCAGTGATGCCAGTAGAGGTGGTATAAGTGGAGGCAGCCCTTCATCAGTTTTTCCAGCATAGACCTATGAATAGAAAGCACTGTATGAGGACAGTGAGGATATGAAAAGTATATGGAATAGCTTTAGTGTTTAGAATGTTAAGAGTCTGATAGAATGATGGTTCTTAATTCTGGCTATAGATCAAATGATCAAAAATTAATTACACAATTCATACATGATTTTATTCCTGTGCTTAAATAGTCAAACAAGAAAGATAAAGCACAACCCCTGGAGCATTCACCCACTCTGCTATAGCAGCCACTATAATCAATTTGGTTTTTAATCTTCTGGTCTGTTTACATACACATCTAGTATATATAGCATGTGTGTATATCTATCCACACCTGCAAATGTACCATATTGTACACGTTACATTATACTTTCACTCCCCTTTTAATTCTATGTCTTGGAGATCTTTCCATGTTAGTACTTTTTTTTTTTTTTTTTTTGAGACAGTTTTACTCTGTCACCCTTGGGAGAGTGCCATGGCGTCATAGCTCAGAGCAGCCTCCAACTCTTGGCCTCAAGCAGTTCTCTTCCCTCAGCTTCCCAAGTAACTGGGACTATAGGTGCCTGGCTATTTTTTTTATTTTTTTTTAAGAGATGGGGCCTCACTGTTGCTCAGGCTGGTTTTGAATTCCTGAGCTCATGCAGTCCCAGAGTGCTGGGATTACAGGTGTAAGCCACTACACCCGGCCTCTTAGTACATTTTTTTATGTGAGCAAAAAAGAAACCCTCTGCTCCCCATCTTTGCAGTTTCCTTCTCAGAGGTATTCACTGTTACCAGTGTAAACTTCCAGATTTGTACTGGGCATGTATAAGCATACTATCATAAGGCAGCATAAGTCCATACTGTTTTATACCCTACTGTTTTCACTTGGAGCATTTGTCTTGGAGATCATTTTGTGGTGTACATTTAAAGTGAGATCCTTTTTAAGTGTTCTATGGTATTCCACTGTATGGACTTTTAGGTAATTTTTCATTTTTCAGAGCCTACTGCAAAGAATATATGAATATATCTTTTGGATAAATTCCTAGAAATGGAATTACTACGTTGTAGGGTATGCATATTTAAAATTTTAACAATGCCCACATTGCTCTCCACAAAGGCTCTATCAGTTTGTACTGCAATCAGCAGTGGTGACTTCCCACCTCCATTTGTGCCAACCACAGCATTTTTAAAGGTTTGCCACTCTGATGGGTGAAATAAATTGTATTGCTATCTTCTATTTACTTGTACATTAGTGATATTGGCTTTCTTTTTATGTGCTTATTGGCTAGTAGAGTTTCTCTTTCTAGAAATAGATTTTATTTCTTTTATCTATTTATCTATTGGGTTGTTTATTATTTTCTATTTGACTTGTAAGTATTCATTTTATATTTTGGATGTTAGTCCTTTTGATAGAGATTTTGCAGATACTTTAAGATCTAAGAGCTCTTTAAAAATCTTTATGCTTCGGCCCCTATAGCTCTCACCTATAATTCCAGCACTCTGGAAGGCTGAGATGGGTGGATTGCCTGAGCTCTGGAGTTTGAGACCAGCCTGAGCAAGATTTAGACCCATCTCTGCTAAAAATAGAAAAAAAGTAGCCAGGCATTGTGGTGGGCAGCTGCAGTCCCAGCAACTCTGGAGGCTGAAGCAAGAGGATCTCCTGAGCCCAAGAGTTTGAGGTTGCTGTGAGCTGTGATGATGCCAAAGCACTCTACCCAGGGGACAGAGTGAAACTCAGTCTCAAATAAAACAAAACTATATGCTTGAAACCCACCCACAAAGGTTCTCATTTCTAAAAGTCCAGCAGTTGTGGGGATTAGTAGCTACATGTTAAAATTTGATGTGCAAATTTAAGAACATCTGTAATAAGAGATTACAGATAATAGAGGAATTTCGGATAGTAGCTAAGTCCTCAAAAACATATATGTAAGTAATCAAAATGTAAGACTATAAAATACCTGTCATACATGTGTGAAAATTATCTGTAAAGGTTCAAAGTTGATAACTATTCTTGGTGTCAGGCTTTCTGGTAGAGTTAAAATCAACTAATTGGGTCTTGGCAAATGAATAGAATTTGGTTGGGGAGATGGGAAAATGTGTTCTAAATCGTGAGGGTGACATGCCCAAAGGAGCGGGCTTGCAGTCCAGTTTGGAGTAGGGATGGTAGGAGATAAGGCGTGAGAGGTGGGACCCAGCTAATGAGGGTCTCTACTATGGGCGTAAGAAGTTGAAATTGTAAGTAGAACATGGTGGGCAACTGTTAGCATTCGCTGACTTACTGTGCTAGCAGGCTTATTTTATTGTTATGATTTGTTTGAATCTTCTTACTAGACTTTGAGTTCCTTGAGAGTAGGGATTTTTGTCTTGTTCAGCTTTGTGGAACTAATACCTACTTAAATCATTGCCTCACCACCCAGTATTTCTTTGTGAATGGCAGTGTTTTATCACTAGAGTGGGTAATCTAGTAACAACTCAGTTTAAATATGATAGAATGTATCAGATAGCAGCTGGGTGTGCTGGATGTGAAATAGTGTCTGAGTGGGCTTTTGACCCCTCTGTGGTTCTGAGGTAGACTAGTAGGCACCCAGAGGACTCCTCCATGACTATCCTGAAAACCATAAATTGAAGGACAGATTAAATACAGTGTTCTACCTGTCTATGGGGTGATGAGAGGGACAGCCCCCCAAAGAGATTCACAATGAGTTACTGGGTTGTAGTTTTGGCTCTTGTGACTTCTTTGGGCCCGTTCCTCCCTGTTTTACCCACCTAGCAAATTGAACAGGAACAATCCTGTAAATTTTTTAGTAGGTTCATTAATTCATGTATTCATTTGATTGATCATTTAGATCATTTAGATCACTCAGAACCTCCTATCTTATATTATGTAAAAAAGAAAAACAAGAATCAAAACCATATTATCCTACTTTTGTATTAACTGCACATACCCATTTTAAAAGGCTAGAATGAAAGACTGTTATTAATGTAATGTTTTCCCCTCTTCCCCCCAAATATGCAATTAACACATATGATTTCAACAATAAAAAAAGATGCTTTAAAAAGTATCTGGCTCTCAGCCTAAGTGAGGGCTAGAATCACATGGGACCCTCTGATCATAAGAAATGGCCACGGAGGTGCAGAAGATCCTGTGTGAAATTTTCTAAGTGGACAAATCCAAGATGTTCTTCCCTTGCTTATGTGGCTAAAGCAGTGATCTGTTTGTCCCCCCAGGGCCATCACTGTGCGTGTCCCCGTGCCCTCTACAGGAGTTGTGGACATCCCCATCATAGAGAAGGAGGTGCAAGGCCAGCAGCAACACCATAAGGTAGGTGAGCTGCCTCCCCATGTGCGGGTCTTTGCCCTTTCTAGGAAATCATGTTTTGATTTCTTTGGCTTCAGATGACACTGGCCCCAAGCTACCGCATGGACAACGGGAAAATGGTAAAAGTACGGAGCAACCGGCATGCACACGTGGCTGTGACTCAGTACCAGGTGCTAAGCAGCACAGTCTCCTCCGCCCTCCTAGAGCTCCAGCCCATCACTGGTGAGGGACTGCCAAGCCCCATACCTCCAGACTTTGTCCAGGGCCTCGTGCTGGGCCCTGCCTTGGTTCTAAGCAGTTAGTAACTGGGTGAGCTGAGGCCAGAGGCTCCTATTGGGATAATTGGGAGTTTATTTAAAAATGTGCATGGTGGTGCCTCAAAAAATTAAACATAGAATTACCATAAGATCCAGGATTTCACTGCTGGGTATATTCCCACAAGAATTGAAAGCAGGGTCTCAGACAGATATCAGCACACAGTATCATAGCAGTGTTGTTCACAGTAGCCCAGAGGTGAAGACACTGCAAACATTCATTGATAGATTTTGGGCAGGAGAATGGTGTTTACCAAAAGTTTGGGGGAATGTAAGGGAGTGGGGAGGAGTGGGAGTTGCTGTTTAATTGGTGCAGAGTTTCAGTTTGGGAAGATGAGAAAATTCTAGAAATGGATGGCAGTGATGGTGCAAAACACTGTAAGTGTGCTTAATGCCACTGAATTTTATGCTTAAAAAAGGTTGAAATGGGAAATTTTATGTATATTTTACTATAATTTAATTGTGATAATTAAAATAACTTTCAAAGCAGTAGTATTTATGTAAAATTGTAAAAGAAGTTAGGGTAAGGAAGATAAACCAAGTTCATGATAATGATTTTCCATGGAGGAAAGAGGGAGCTGTGATGGGGGGTAAGTTCTTACAATATTTACAATGTTTATTTCCTAAGCTAGCTGTGTTACATAGCTTACATTTGTTTTTTTCTTCTTTGTGCCTTATTGTGATGGTACTTGGCTAGTTTACTGGGCTCTGATTTATTATAAATTGAAGCAGATTCCAGTACTAGTATTATTTCTGTAGCTCCTCATGAGTTTTCTTTCTCTTTTGTAAGGAATAAAGCATCAGTTGCGAGTTCATTTGTCTTTTGGATTGGACTGTCCAATCCTTGGTGATCACAAGTACTCAGACTGGAATAAGTTGGCCCCGCAGGTAATGCTGATTTGACCTCATGTGTAACAGAATCAGGGAGAGAACCTGGGCTTTCCTTTCACTAGAACCCGGAAGTCAGTCATAGTAAAGATATACTGATTATCTTCAGACACAGAGTCATCCTGGTTATCTAGCTTTTAGAGAATTTAGCAGTTAGTTATTGTCAGGGAGCTACAGCATCATTTAGGAAAACCTTCCTCTTTTATTTATTTAGCCTCTGATTTTGTTGCCTGGCATTGGGGAAGGGGGAGGAGTGTTTCAAAGACAGCTTTTCCTGCTACTGCTAAAGCATATGCGGGTTCCTTCTCACCTTTGATGTTATACAGTAGTTGTCCTCTTGGTAGGCCACAGGACTGGCCAATAAGAACTTTTTGGTGTGGCTGGTTTTCTCTGACCTAGGTTCCGAACCCTTCCTAGGCATGCCCCTGAATAGGCTGTGCATTGTAGTATCTTCCAGGGAGGCTGGTGTTGCTTCCCGTGACATGGAAGTCTTCTGACCAGACATGCACGTTGGCCTTGCTATCAACGGTTTATCTTTTCTTTGTGTAGAAACTGTCCATCAGTACCCTGAAGAAGCTGGGGCTACAGCAGTCAAAGGCTCGCCACATCCCCCTTCATCTACATGCCCGGCAGCTGGTCCTGCCTGCTCTGGGGCCCCAGAAGGAGGAACTCAACTTGGTGTGCAGACTTCCTCGCTTCTTTGCACACTCCCTGCGCCGTCTGGGTTTAGAGATACCAAATGAGGGTGAAAATGGGGACAGTGAAGCCAAGCATCCAGGAGCACAGTGAAGACCCTGGGAGTTCTCTGATGTCGGGGAGTGCACTCTGGCCCCTGAACTTTTTGCTTTGTTTACTGAGCTCTGCCTACTTCTCAGGGGAGCAGACTCCAAAAGAGCAGGTAGGATAAGCTGGAGCAACATAGCTGCTTCAGGGCTCATCATGGAGAATAAAGTCTATTTACTGATGGAAAGTCTGCTGGAAGTCTTCTTGCCATAAGAGAAGAGAGCCCAGGACCAGGCGGGTTGGATCAATGAGTGAAAAAGGAGAACTGGCTCCGCGCCTGTAGCTCAGCTGGTAGGGCACCAGCCATATACACTGGAGCTGGCAGGTTCGAACCCAGCCCAGGCCTGCCAAACAACAATGACAACTACAACCAACAACTAGCTGGGTGTTGTGGTGGGTGCCTGTAGTCCCAGCTACTTGGGAGGCTGAGGCAAGAATAGTATTCCATGGTATACATAGCTGCTTGGTAGGCATTTAGGCAACTCTTAAGCCCAAAGAGTTTGAAGATTGAACCCGCCAGCCTTAGTGTATTTGCCTGGCACCATAACCACTGTGCTACAGGCGCCGAGCCAAGGTGGGGCATTTGATAGGTGAGGAAAGCATACATGAGCGGCAGACAGACACCATGAATGGGGAAGCTGGAGGCACATAAGGCAGTGGGGGGGGGAGCAAACAGCCAGGAGCTCACACCACCCAGCAGTCCTGAGCTCCAGTTGGTTGTTGGCATGTGGGAATGGATTTTCTCATTGTTTTTCCAGACAATCAGGAAACCTAGATAGTTATATGAAGTCTTTCAGTGTATTGCCAACTAAATCAATTTTTTTTGTTGTTGTTGGGGATTCATTGAGGGTGCACAGAACAAGGTTACATTGATTGCTTTTGTTAGATAAGGACCCTCTTATAATTGTGTCCCACTCCCAAAAGGTGAACCATACCCCTTGTCTCCCCACCTGCTCCTTCCTTTTCTCTGCTGTCCCCATTCCCCACCCCCGACCATTTACTAGGGCATTAATTGTCCTCATATCAGAATTGAATACATAGGATTTTCATTTCTCTATTCTTGTGGTGCTTTACTAAGAATAATGTGTTCCACATCCATCCAGGTTAATATAAAAGATGTAAAGGCTCCATTTTTTTCTATTGGCTGAATAGTATTCCATGGTATACATAGCTGCTTGGTAGGCATTTAGGCTGTTTCCACATTCTGGTGATTGTAAATTGAGCTGCAATAAACAGTCTAGTGCAAATGTCCCTGTGGTAAAAGGATTTTTTTCTTCTAGGTAGATGCTCAGCAAGGGGATTACAGCATCAAATGGGAATTCTAGCTCCCATTGCTCCCAGTGGAAGGTCTAGGGTTCTCCATATTGCCTTCCAAAAATGTTGTTTTACCACCAGCAGTGGCTTAGAGTCCCACCAGCAGTGTAAAAGTGTTGCTTTCTCTCCACATCCAGGCCAGCATCTGCAGTTTTGAGACTTTGTATTGTGGGCCATTCTCACTGGGGTTAGATGGTATCTCAGGGTGGTTTTGATTTGCATTTCTCTAATAGTTAGGGATGATGAGCATTTTTCATATGTTAGCCATTTGTTAGCCATTTATCTATCTTATTTTTTTGAGACAGTCTCACTATGCCGCCCTAAACATTGTTCTTTAGTTGGCCTTGGCCAGGTTCACACCCACCAGCCTTGGTGTATGTGGCCGATGCCATAACTACTGTATTACAGGCGCCAAGCCAGAAGGTTCTATTCATCTGTCTTGCTCAGTGGTATAAGGGCTTGTTGGCTGTTTTTATGATGTTTTTTTCAGACACAGAGTCTGATTTTGTCACCCTCGGTAGAGTGCTGTGGTGTCACAGCTCACAACAACCTCCAACTCCTGGGCTTAGGCGATTCTCTTGCCTGACCCTCCCGAGTAGCTGGGACCACAGGCACTGCCACAACGCCCGGCTATTTTTTGTTGCAGTTTGGCTGGGGCCGATTTTGAACCCGCCACCCTCGGTTTGTGGGGCTGATCCCCTACTCACTGAACTACAGGCACCACCCTGTTTTTATGATTATTAATTTGAGTTCTTTGTAGATACCAATTCAGAATATGCAAATATCCTTTCCCAGTGTGTAGGTTGTCTATTTGCTTTGGTTGTTGTTGCCTTAGTTGTACAGAAGCTTTTCTGTTTCATTAAGTTGCATTTGTTTATTTTTGTTATTGCAATTGCATGGAAGTCTTCCTCATAAAGTCCTTCCCCAGGCCAATAGCTTCCAGTGCTTTCCCCATGATGCAGGACAAGGTGGAACCATGATCTGCTATCTTAGCTCTGGAGGTGTTGATGCTGCTGCGGACACAGGAACCAGCTTGCTGGAAGGGCCACACACCTGCTAGGGAGACACTGGCTTCTTGCTGTCTGCTCCACCTGCACTTCTGACTGGTCAATTTCATGTAAGTTTCCCAGGCCTGAGAGTTCACCCTGACTGCTTGCTGTAACTGAGGAGGACCCACCCCTAAAAGTCAACATTAAACCCCTGAGCAGAGAGAGGAAGAGGGAGCAGGAGAGCTTGTTCCCTTCCTGGGTTCTCTCTGCCAGGAGGTTTGGTTTTTTGTAGTTGTTGTAATTTTTGTTTCTTTGAATAAATCCTGACTTAACCACTGATCCTGTGGTCCATTGATTCATTCTTGGAATCCCTGAAACCAAGAACCTGAAACTCTGGTATTACCCACACTTTCTTTGAGGATTTTAATTGTTTCGTGCCTTAGATTTAGGTCTTTTATCTATCTTGAATCAGTTTTTGTGAGTGGAGAACTAAGTCAAATTTTAAAAAGATAGGCAGCCAAGCAGATAATATTTGCAGGTTGAATTTGGTTTGCAGGCTACTAGTTAGCAATTTTGTTTTTTTTTTAAAAGACAGAGTCTCACTTTGTCTCCCTGGCTAGAGTGCCATGGTGTCAAGCTCACAACAATTTGAAACTCTCAGGCTCAAGCGATCCTCTTGCCTCTCAGGCTCAAACGATGCTCTTGCCTCAGCTTCTCAAGTACAAGCTGGGACTATAGGTGCCCACCACAACACCCGGCTAGTTTTTAGACAGGGTCTTGCGGTCGCTCAGGCTGGTCTTGAGCTCCTGAGCTCAGGCAATCCACCCACCTTGGCTTCCCAAAGTGCTAGGATTATAGGCATGTGCCACTCTGCCCGGCCTTTTGCAGTGTAGTTTTGTTTTGTTTTTTGAGACGGAGTCTCACTTTGTTGCCCTCGGTAGAGTGCTATGGCATCACAGCTCACAGCAACCTACAACTCTTGGGCTCAAGTGATCCTCTTGCCTCAGCCTCCCGAGCAGCTGGGGCTATAGGC